CCCCCCCCCCCCCCCCCCCCGGTCCTTGCAAAAATTTTCTGCTTGAAACCGGTCCCTGGTACAAAAAAGGTTGGGGACCACTGGAATATATAATAAAATAAAATAAACAAACAAATAAATAATAAATAAATAAATAAATAAATAATGATAAAAAAACCTAACCGGTCCTTGAAAAAGTGTTTCTGCGTGAAACCGATCCCTGGTACAAAAAAGGTTGGGGATCACTGATGTAGTGGGTCACGGTTGGCTCTATAGGCAAAAGGGCAAATGCAATAGGTGTTTGAGTTAATTTGTCAACCTTCGGCTTGTTGCTTATCTGAGTTTCTGTATTGACCCAGTCTTTCTGAATGGATTACCAAATCTGCATTTCTAAAAGCTGGCCTCATTTTCTGCTTGGGGCAGGGAAATTGGGGCTGGTTTTTGCCTCCCTTGAGGTTCTTTTCCCCCCTCTTTCATTCCTCTTTTAGAGAAAATATTCTATCCTGCCTTTTTAATATTCCCCAAAATATTTCATAGTTAAGTTGGGGGTGCGGGGCTTCCCACACTATTTTCTTTGCTTATGTCCCCACTTTGTTGCTGAATAGTAATAGCAATGTCTAACGCACCACTTTATGGGTTTAAGGGTTTTTTTAAAATATATTTTTATTAAAAAAAAAATTTACATCGTAAAACATGGTATCAACAACTTTCTTGGCATCTATACAAGATTTTGATTTAAATATCATAATACATTATATTGCGTTTATCTACTATTAAATAATATCTTTAGCTATAATTACTACTCATATCTTTATATAGTTTACAAAATTTTATTTTACTTTCTTAAGGGTTGTTTCAATTAACATTTTTGTCTTACTTCTTGGTTCTGTTTGTTAGCCATTTATACCAATTCTTTACACCAAATTGTAAAGAATTCAGAGTTGTCTTTTTCTTTCAATTTCATTGTTAGCATATTCATCTCAGCACTTTCTGTTACTTTGTGTATTATTAGTTCTTCATTGGGGGTATTTGGTGTTTTCCATACCTGCGCAAAGGCTATTCTGGCGGCTGCTATATGTAACACTAGGTATTTTACTTCTTTCGGTAGTCTTTCTTTAATGATTCCTAATAGGAAGGATTCTGGTCTGAGCTCAATCTGATAGCCAGTGATCTCTTTTAACCAATTTTGAATTTGAATCCAGTATGTCCTGGCCTCGGGGCACATCCACCACGTGATAAAATGTACCATCAACTTTTTTGCACTTCCAACATTTAGGACTCATATTGGAGTAGATTTTTGCCAATCTTGTCGGGGCTAAATACCATCTATAAAACATTTTATATATGTTTTCTTTGTATGCT